CATTATGGATTAATATATATTATTTTTAATTAATAATAATAAACAATGTTGTTAATACTTTAAATTATACAAATTAAGGTTTGTTTATGAAGAAACGAGATCTGAATTGCCAGTTTTAATCACAAAATGACTAGAATAATTGTTATAAAGTGTCAAATAATATTGATATTCCAATTAGTGTTTTGTTAAATAGGTAATATCAATTGATAGTATATTAACATTTTGTACTTGTAAATGCTATTGGAATAATAATTTTGGTTTTMATTGATTTACGGCACATATCTTTTATACATATTGATATCGTTTGTTATCAAATAATATACCCGGGTGTTCACTTTATACAAGCATTTAAATTTGTTTTTTAAAATAAAATAGTAATATTTTTGTTTAAATTTTGTTTGTACTAGAAGTCTTTAAATATTTAATTTATAATTATTATTTCAGTACAATATATACTTTATTTTTCAATAAAAGTACGTTCATTACTGGTCGACTTCTCATATCGGAGAGTTATATATATAACATTTTATAATTAATATTGCTCAAGGCTGGAATAAAGATATTATATAAGTTTGTACTTGTTATAGAATTATCACGGGTTGTATAATACGTCACGTACAGTATAAAATTATTAATAAACTATACTCATTTTCTCAGTCAATTTTTGGTTAGGTTAGTAAAATTATAGTTACAGATATAAGTGTCTAATAAAAAAGGTTAAAAAATTATAAAGTTACAACAGTAATAAATAGTATAAATAGTTAACAATTAAGACTTTTGCTTAAAAAGTAAAAACTGAGTGTTAAGCTCACAGAATCAGCTATGAAATGTATTGTTTTTAAAATCCCAAAAACTGACCGTTAAAACTTAAAGTAGACTACAGCGTGGCCTATCATTGTATGTATGTACGTAGTTTTACAYAGAAATAGAAATTAAAGTTACGGTGGTGATCGGTAATGGATATATTCAATATCAAAATTTTTAGTTAATATTTTTGTGTTGGTGTATGGTGATGACACGAGTTGATTGTCACGAGCTCATATAGCCTGTGTGTATGTGAATGTGTTGTGGGTATGTGTATATGTGTGACGGTGATTTGCGTTAGTTTTTTTTATGAAAACGTCTTTAATAGATACACTAAAACTAATCAACACTTAGTGGTTGCACAGACGAAAAGTATTTTTACAATTAAAATCTGTTCGCGTACAATGCAACTAACATGCGTTTTCGTTGGCCCTTTTCTTTATCCCAGGCGAATACAAACTGAGTGTCGGTTATATATAATAATTATATATTTATATCGTATCATTATTATTATTATTACAATCGTTATACCTACATGTAATACGATGTAATATGGTTTGAAAGTGGATTTACATTTACGCCCGTTTATTATAATGAATGAAAAACAATGTTGTGATAAATTAAGCACGTAAATGGTGACTTGGGGTTGTTCATTCGATGGGCTTGTATGGATGTGGTGGCGGCCGGACAGCGGTAGTGCTGGGCAGCGATCTGGCGGCCCAGTGCACTTCCGATGGTCATGGTGACGCGTAATGCGAGTAGTTGGCCAGATGTGGCGAGACTCCCGTATGGTGGCTGACTCCGGTGCTTGCACCTGGGTGGTGGTGATGGTGGCCCATCGAATGTGACGCGGATGCAGCGGCAATATTCGAATAAAGGTTGGCACCCGGGTTGGTCCAGTACGAAGACGCTGATGGAAATATGCTACCTGTAAATGCAAACAAATACCGCGGTGTTAAAAGACTTTAAACAATAGGTACTTTAATAGTTTAATGTGATATATGTATTATGTAGATACTATATTATGTATACAGCRGGTTCACGCTAAGAGGTACCACCAAATATTTTAGTTAGATTACCTTGTATTGAAATGGGGTTTTCGTTGAATGTCAGATAGTACTTAAATATATATTTTTAGATAAATTTAAAAATTTAAATACTTTCGATACGTGCATGTGCAATATAACTTACTTTTTTTTACATAATCGGATGGAGTATTTTTTTCTAAACTATTTATTTGAAAAAAGTTTTTTTCTAACTACAAAATTGGCATATGAAATTTAATATTTACGAGTAATTTGTTTTTGACGAAATTTAAGCTAAATTTAACTTACTGTTACTTATTAGTATCTAACATTGTTAAATACCTGTTGATACAAACATAAGATATAAATAAACACATTGTTATCGTAATGTACTCTAATATTTTTCATTCGTTCTTCTGAAATAAGATAGCTAATTGAATAATTTAGATTTCGTCAAAAACAAATTACTCATAAATATTAAATTTTGATATGTCTAATTTGTAATTAGAAAAAAACATTTTGTACATAAATTGTTCAGAAAAAATACTGTATCCGAATATGTAAAAAAGTTGGTGTTACAATATAAAAAAAGTACCTAAGTTGTATCGTGCATAATACGCGGATCTAAAAAAGTTAAAAATTTGAAATTTCTCTAAGAATATGTATTTAAGTACCTACTGTTTATCATTCAATGAAAACCCCATTTCAATACAAGATAATCGAACCGAAATATTTARTGGTACCTCTTAACGTGAACACACTGTATATTAAAATATTAACGTCCTACATAAAGAGACTATGAGTGAATCATCCCTTGGGTGGAGGTCCCACTTATAGTGCTATTCCACCAATATAAATTAATATAACATTTTTAATTCCACCTTTGCCGTTAGTTCAATTATAAACATATAAACATATACATACAAATAAATTACACATATAATGTCTTATATTATAGTTATATTTTATCTATAGGTATCTCGTAATAGTTTAAGATATCTATTTTCAATTTATTTATTTTTTTGGTATTTTTAGTAATAATTGTATACTATTGCTATATGTTCTGACATGTTAAATTGATTGTTATAATTGTAGGCAATGTAAATACCGAATTTTACCACGCAAATAATTTTTTTATTTGAATATTTTCTARCCATTATTTGGATTGTGAGTGTTCGGATTGTATTTAGTAACTCAAAAAGCCACAATAGAAACCCAAGTATAAATAAATAAACTAGGTACTTAAAATATACTTTAGAATATTCTAATAACAAAAAACAATTATTTATTAAAATTCTTATAATTTTTTTATAAATAATAATATAGGTACATAAAACTAGTAAAACCTAACGCGTTAATAGTATATTAGGTATGGTTTTTTTTTGTTAAGTTAGCTTTTACGCATTCGACCATTAAACATAATTCCCGTAAGTAAAGTGTTTTATTTTAACTTTGACCTTTAATTAKCCACCGTGCTCAATGCCTAATATCTACTTTGCCGTTTTGACGTTACATATAATAATATATGCAAATTAAGTGTATTTTCGAACATAATCGTTATTCACCAAATTTAGCGGAATAGTTTAAAATAAATATTTTAAACAATATAATCAACTATGCTGAGATCTCATTATATCCACATATAGTATAGTTATAAATTTATAATACTATAGGTTAGGTTACTATAATATGTTACTATACAYTAAAATTTTGAATTTTTAAGGAAAATGTTTAGAAAGTCATATTCTACATCTTACACACTTTTTAAACACATTTTCTAATTATTATAAAAAACCAATATATATATACATGTATATGTATATACTATTTACTCAACTATATTTATTGGTGTTGTTTTGAGTTATTTTGTTAAATGTGTAGATTACTTATTTAGTATATGTCGAGTTATTTCAAATAAATTCCTGAGCTGATGGTTACGTTACCAAAAACACATTTATCGAATAATAAATACGTTAAATTAATCGCTTCCTTTTTATTATCGTAATTGTATTTGCCTGGAAAAAGAATAGGAATCAATGTTGCAAAATATTAAGCACCGGAAAAACATATAAACCAAAACAGAAAACTTCGTTATTGCAGAAAATGTATTTTCCCATTGCCGACGGCAAGCGGTTTTAACCGAGGGGTTTCATTCCCAATATTTCACGGGTTATTGCAATGAACAAAACCCCTGTTTGGTGTTCGACCGAAACGAACATATTGACAAATGAAATTACAAACTAATGGATTTCTTGAAATTGATTTTGTTGTTCCTCATTTCGTCATAATTAWATTTCAGCCAAACTACCAGTTCAACTAGACATTTTACTACAAWTCTAGTTTTGTAATAAATAATAATGAAAAATATTTATTCATATATTATACTATTATATTAATTATGAAGTCATCTTGAAATTAAATAAAATATAAAAAAATCTTAAAAAAAGGTTTTGATATGTATTAATATCCTAAGTCGGAGCACAAAAATAAATTTTAAAAAGGAACAGCACTCKTATTTATTGTTGAATGATCTAATTAATTCATACATATTATTATTTATGAAGTATTTATTTAGTTTTTAATCGGCTGTTTATACAGAAAGTTATTCGACATGCATTGATAAAATATATTTAAACCACA